ATAGGAGAAGAGAGTTGCAAATGACTTGGTGTATGCGTGCGTGTGTGTGTGCGCGCGCGCGCGCGTGTGCGCGTGCGTGCGTGTGTGGTAGGTGGGTGTACTCATTTCCTGTGGCTGCCATCACAAATGACCACAAACTGGGTGGCTTAAAACAACAGAAGTCAATTCTCTCACAGTTCTGGAGTTCTGTCCTGCAAACCTCTTGGCTTGTCAATGCATCGCTCCACTCTGTGTCCCTGTCTTCACAGCCTCCCTCCTGTGTGTGTGCGCTCTCCTCTCCTCGTAAGGATCCCAGTCATTGGATTAGAGCCCTTCTCTCTAATGACCTCAGCGTAACTTGATTACATCTGCAAAGACCCTATTTCCAAATAAGATTGCATTCACCTGGGGTTAGCACTGGAACATACTTTGGGGGAGGGACACAACTCAACCCACAATAGTAAGGCTTGAGAATTCAGACTGGACGGTGCCTTCCTCTCTAAAGAGATCTGAGTGGTGAGCGAGCTGCCTGTAGTGTCTGGCTAGGGACAAGCATCCTGGGAAGAAGGAACAGTGAGCGCAAAGGCCCTCGGGAGTGACATGGGCCGGGGATGTTCAAAGACCCGACCTGTAGGAAGACCTGTGAAGCTGGAACACAAAAGATGGGTGAAGTGTGACAGGGGATGAGATCATGGATATCAGCCAGGGCGGGGTCACGCAGGATCTTACAAGCAATTTGAAGTTTATTCTCAGGGTAATGGGGAGGCATTGAGGGGATTTTAAGCAGCAGGGGTGTGAGCTTGTTAATCTTTTCAAAGGATTGCATTGACCATTAAGTGGGGAGCAGCCTCTAACCAGGTAAGAGGATGTTCAGGTGAGGCCAGTGAGGGGTGGAGAGGAGGGGAGGAGTGGTGCTTCTAGTCCATAGCGTGTTCTCCTTCATGGTTCTCAAACTGTGTTCCCCTGAGCCCTGGGTTTCTGCAGGGTTGGTCGGTCTTTGGCACCCGTGAGTAGATGCCATTAATTTTGTGAATAATATGAACCACTTCAGACGTGCCTTTCTCTCGGCTCAGCCTAGATTCCCCATGTCAGCTCCGCCTCACCCTCTGCTATCACTGGGAGTCACCAGACTTTTTTAGCGTTTCATCTTGGTCCAAAAATGTCCCTTAGCAAATCCACCCTTAGTTAATAACCCAGGAACAATGTGACTCAGTAATGAGTATCAGATTCGTGTGGGACAAAACCATTTCTGTGGTGGCATGTGTGACTTTTAAAAGGAACGCCATGACCTCCTATGCCTTCGTGGGGGTAATAGTGAGCCTGATGCATGGGGGTGCCCGGAGGTTTAGATCATGTCTGTGATGCAATCGGTGTGTATGAAGTGGTCTGTTTATTTTAGCTGCCATTTGCACTATTATTTTACTGTTTTAAATTCAAGTTATTACTTCCCTTCAGCCTCATAACCTTCAGGAGCCCTTCCTGAAGGGGATAAATCTATTTTCCACTAAATCTCTGGGGTCTTCTCTGTGAGTTGTGGACCACTTACTCGCGTCACTGAACCAATGAGGCCAGAGGTGTTTGTGGAGGATGGCCATGGGGACAGATGGGGGCAGGTGGGTGGGGGCTGTGACCGACAGCAATAGAATCATCGGAAAGGGGCGGCCTCCACTCAGCTCCGGGTGACTGGTCCATCTGGGAACAGGGGCCTGCTGTGGCCAGATCTTCCCATATTTTTAGGAGACATTGGAAATTTGGATTTTTATATGGAATCTCCCAATTACAAAATGTTAGTTCAGATTTAGAAAAAGTGATGGGGCAGGCCGGACATAATCTGCCTTCCAGGTTATTAGTGAAGATTGGCTGTGGCTGAGCTACTGCACACCTGTGACTTGTGCGGCTGTCAGAGGGCGCCCCTTCTTCCCTTCCTCATCTGGATTTGGGTTCTGATTTCTAGGAGAACCCTGCTCAAGAATCGAGGTGGCAGAAGGCAGTAAGAGTGGGGAGGATGACGGGGGGGGGGTGATACCAAGGAGAGCTGGGGGCAGGGAGTGAAGCTTACCTGCATCCCTGCACGCCAGGTGTTAGTATTTAATTCTAAGCTTGCTGGGAAGCTGCGGGAGGGCTTATGGGATGTATATTTTGAAAGGATCCCTCTGGCTGCCCTATGTAAGGACAAATGTGGTAGTGAGACCAAGGAGGAGGCGACGGCAGTCAACCAGGTGAGAGATGGTGGGGCCCGGCTGACTGGGGCGGGAAGAAGGCCACCGGCGTTGGTGAGAAATGGTTGGATTTGGGTTATGTTTTTAAGATGGAGATGGCTGGATTTGCTGAGGGTTTGCATGTGGTGTGAGAAGAGGAGAAGGATCAAGGGCTACTCCTTGGTGTTTGGTTGGAGAACGAGAGGAATACTAGGGAGATATTTGAGCTGGGAACATGGAGAGGAGCAGTTTCAGAGGCTCATAGGGTTTGATTTAGACACACTCATTTTGAGATGCCCGTTGGATGCCCAAATGGAGATGTTGGGTGGACAGTGGGACATATGAGCCCAGATTTCAGGGGACAGATTCAGGCTGTAGATAAAAATGAGCTTTATACCAGAAGGGGGAAGTAAAACAGAGCTGTGGGTCCCTCCAGGGCCAATTTGGAAGGGCCTCAGGACTCAGAGCCACCTGGAGTGGGGGTGGGGGATGGGGTCAGTGCTCCTAGATATTTATATTCAGGTGAAACCAAGTTATGCTGAGTAGTTTGCCGAAGGAACTCACTGCGGTGCTGTTATCAGAAGGACGGGGGATGATTCTCAGTAGGCAAAATCAACTCATGTCCACTAGAGTAGGGGCATTAATCATTATGGGTGGGGATGACAAAGCGTATGTGAGGGGGACAGCAGCCTGTTTTTTCTACAGCACCAGGGCAGGCTGGTTCCTTTGTTTATCCCTGACCAAATTTCAGGGTCTGGACTTTGGGCCTTGTCATGAGGACCAAGAGCATCCAGCCCCTTCTAGGTACTTGGCTATCCATGTCCTAGCCTGGGTCATCTCCCCTCCTCTACCTAAATTTATCAGCCACCCCCTAAGATACGTGTGGGACGCAACCAGTATAGCTGTGCTCATAGTTAGGAAACAAAGAAAAGGGTTTCTTTATGCTCTGCCAACCGGAAAAGGCCTCCCAAGATGGAAAGTTGGTGAGCCCTGAGCCAGGCCCAGGCCTCTGGAATGGCGTTTGAGTCTAAACCAGTGGGTCTCATCCCTGGCTACACCCTAGCAGCCTCTGGGGAGCTTTTACAAAATGCTGTGGCCCAGGCCTCACCCTCAGAAATTCTGATTATAACTGGACTCTGGTGGGTCCCAGCCTTTTGAATTTATGAACAACTCTCCCGGGGAGTTTCACAGGTAGCCTGGGCTCAGAACCACTGGTCTAAGTGCAATTTGGAAAACCCTCTTCATTGCTTCCAGGATATAAGCCTGCTGAGGGTAGTGCTATGTCCTGTTGATGGCTGCATCCCCAAGATCCGTAGCAGTGCCAGGTACCTAGTAGGTGCGCAAATAAATATTTGTGGAATGAATGACATTCCATAGCTTTGCACAAATCCCTTAATGGAGCAGATGGCGCCCCTGACGAATGTGCGTTCTCCATACTTCTCGCATGTGGGACAGGGTTCTGGTCAGACCCCACTTGAGGTCAAGCTGTGGTTCTCAGAATCCCTGAACTGCTCCTGCCAACTCCACTGATTCTCAACACCTGTACATTAGAGTCATCTGAGGTCATAAAAAAAATTACTTTTGGATGCTCTGGTTCACTGGGTTTAAGCTGAAGCCTGGGCACAGGCTTTGAAAAAAAAAAAAAAAGCATCCCAGGTGATTCTAACATGCTGTCAGGGTTGAAGACACCTGTTCTAATCTTTTCTACCACTGTGAGTCTGTTTCCTGACTTCAGCTAATTTGGTCCAAGACCCCTGGAGGTGTTTTCTTGGGGGACATCATTGGGTTCTTGTGTAGTGTCCCCCAAACATACCTGCTCATAGCATTCACTTTGGGTTCTTGCTTAAAAAGACACATCCCTGAGTCTCTATTCCAGACTTACGGAATCAGAAGCTCCAGGGAGGGGCCTGGGAGTCTGTGTTTAGCAGGCGTCCAGGTGCGCTTATTACCTGCCAGCCTCTCCAGCTGCAACTGCTCTCGTGGCTCAGCCCCCTGCTGGCTGGCTTTTGCTTTAGTTTGGTTCCACCTGTCAGAACACTCTTCCCCCAGCTCTTCCCATCAACCAGGTTTGTCCCAATGCCACCTTCCCAGAGAGGCCCTTTGTGACCCCAGAAGTGACTGAAGACTCCCCAGCCCCTAGCTCTGGCCAGCTCTCTCTTGACAGCCTACAGGAGATGATCTTTGTTCCCTCGTTTATCTCCTTTCTGCCTCTCCCCCAACCAGAACCTGAGCTTTCACAGTGTCACAGTGTCCCATTCATGCTGGGTCCCTGGCACATGATAGGTGGCCAAGAGGTCTAGATGGGAGCGTGGGACTTGTCTTTTCAGAGTATCTGTGATTCTTTCCCAGTTCAGGGGCATGCAGGTGACTGAACTCTGGGTGAAACTCCTGCCATCGCCATAGGCACACAGAGGCACCTGGAGGTGCCCCCTTGGAGAAGAAAAAAGGGGAAAGCTGGAGATGAGCTGGGGATCAGTCACCTAGGGCAAAAGTACAAGTGGCAGCAGCTTTCTTGTCTAGATCCTGGGTCCGGCAGGGCGCGCAGAGCTCACTGCAGGGAGGGTGGGAGGCAGCGGCCACCCAGCGCGGCTGTGCTGAGCGCCTGGCCGAGGCCCCGGCCCGAGGCTAAGAGCAGGGCCCCAGCAGTGAGGACAGGGCAGGCGGCGGCCTCCATTCCTCCCCGGGCGCTGGCCAAC